CCGGGGCCCGAACCCGCGTCTCCTGCATCGGCAGGCGGACTCTCAAGCACTCAAGCACTGGGGAAGCCCTCTGTCTGTTCTTTGAGTGCCTGTCAAGTAAGGTCAAAGAGGTGGCTCTCTGCTCAGGAGTCGGGAAGTGAACGGCTGTAGTAGGTGCTGAAGGCTTTTTTTTTTTTTTTTAACATCTTCATTGGAGTATAATTGCCTTACAATGGTGTGTTAGTTTCTGCTTTATAACAAAGTGAATCAGTTATACATATACATATTATCCAATACCTTTTCCCTCTTGCGTCTCCCTCCCTCCCACCCTCCCTATCCCACCCCTCTAGGTGGTCACGAAGGCTTTTTAAGACCTTGAAATCCTTGTTGGTCGAGCGACCGCGATCGAAGAACTTTGAAGGAGGGGATGGGGGTGGGAAAGGAAGCGGAGAAAAGGCAAGTGAGAGATAAAGGGGAAGTGCAGTTGCAGAACCGAGCTAGCTCTCTCCTCCCTGCCTGCGCAGCCTCCAGCAGCCTCTTTTCCAACTTCTCCCGGGCGACCCGCGTTGGACCCCATGGCCGACTCCAGACCCAAGAAAGCCAAGATCTGTCTCTGCATATTTCTGTGTCTTCTGGTGGCGGGGGTCATCGCGGTGGTGGTCGGAGTCCGGATGTGGCGCCACTCGTCCGAGCACAAGAAGTGGAACGGGACGGGCAGCACTGCCCATTTTCAAGAAATCGCCCTGGAGCGATGCTACAACTACACGCAGTTGGTGCAGCCGGAGCTCAGGTGAGTCGGCGTCTTTGGCGCATGGAGGGGCATCGCGCGCGGTGGTGGCTGGGCACAGCTGGGCACAGCCGGGCACAGCCGCACAGTGCGCTCAGAGTAGCTGTCTGGATTGCCTGAAACAAAGCATCGACTGTTCCGAGTCAGCTGAGAGCCCGCGGGGCAGTGCTGACTCCGCGGGGAGTAGGGAGTCCGGGCTCGCGAGTCCGAGCGCCAGTCCCCAGAGGTGCAGGCGGGCGGTGGCGAGCGCGCTGCTCCTTGGCCCTTGCGCTCAACTGGTGGACACTTGTCAGAGACTCCCGGAGCCCGGCCCAATTTGGGACCGCAGTCCCACTCGGCCAAGTAGTCAGGGAGTTGCTGGCGTTTCCTACATTTCATGGGGTTTGCGTTCGCCATCTCTGACCCAAAAGTGCCCCGGACAGTTACAGACACCTGGTGAAGTGGCTTGCGGAGCCTGAGGTGGGAGGACGGTGTCTGAAGGGCCCGATCACTGAAGTTAGTTTCATTCATTACTGTAAAACAGCATCCCGATTCTTTTTGTGCGCCCTGAAATGAATGTGACCACAGCATCCAATAACAAAGCAAAACAAAGCGGTAAAAACTTAAAAAGATTTTAAAGATAAAACACACGGTAAAGCGCATCTGCTTAATGATTCCGTTCAGACCCTAGAAGCACCACCCACATCAGTCTACGGACCTTTCCGGAAGGTTCCTCGGGCCCTCTCCCAGCTAGCTTCTAATCTCTCCCCATAGTGAAACGCTTTCTTGACTTCCATTCTCAGGGCTTGGTTTCACCCGGAAAACTCATTTTCCGAAATTGTACATAAAGCAGAATAAGCTGAGAAGTAAAAAGTTGCTTCTCAGGCTGCCAAAGGCGGGCAGGGGAGCCGCGATTTTCATCTGTGTGCCTGAGATCAGTTCCGCCTCCAAACACCCGCGATCCCAGGGGATGAGCCCTGAGACGCACCAAGGAATTCCTAAATTTTATGTTTGTATCTCTTTTCTCTGACCCTAAAAATCTTGGTTCCTAATAACATTAATATAATTATGTATTCGCTTTCATATATACAAATAATTATATGTATGTGTTTTTATTAATATTATTATTACTAACAAAATATCTAAATGTCTTTATGGTTCTTTTTGTCCTTAGGATATAGGATACATCCACTAGTGATGAATAGTGATGTATAGAGCATGTACCACTGTCTGACCCCTTATTAAAAGGATCCTTCTGGCTGCTGGGTTGAAAATAGATGGTAGTGGGGCAAGGACAGGAGCATGGAGGCCATGGAGTTCTTGTAGCAGTTCAGGTGAGAGGTGATTGCGACTTTGTTAGTGATGGATGGTGATGAGAAGGGGAAATATTTTGGATACATTTTGAAAGTAGATTCCATGTGATTTGCTATGGACTTCTGTATGGGATGTTAGAGAAAAAGAAGAAACAAGATTTGTGGGCTGAGTTACCAGAAAAATGAATTTCCATTTATCAAAAAGGGAACGACTGGGATGAAGCAAGTTGGGAAAGGAACCACTGGTCTGGCTTTGTACATATTAGTTTTGCAATGTCCATTGTCATTCAAGAGCAGATATTGAATAGGAAGCTGGTTTCTATGAGTCTAGGGTACTAGGGAGAGGTCTGGGCTGGAGATATAAATGTGGAAGTCAGCTGTGCATAGAAATTCAAGCAGATGTTTTATAAGGAGGAAGTGTTAATTGTCTTATTCAAGTGATTCCGACTGGTTAAGTAAGATGAAAAGTGAAAATTGACCAATGGATTGATGACTTTGACAAGATCAGTTTTAGAAGAGTGGTCGTGGTGAAAGCCTGTCTGGAATAGATTCAAGAAAAAGATGGGAAGAGAGAAATTGGAGACTGTACATAGACCGCTCTCGCCAGGGGTCTTACTGGAAAGGAGAGCAGAAATAGTGTGCTGGTTGGATGGATAAAGAGGGATTCAAGATGGAAGAAATTGGGCTTTGAGAGCCAGCTTCTTTAAAGTCGACTGAGAAGTTATGTAAGTAAAGAATGTTTCCTGGGCTTCCCTGGTGGTGCAGTGGTTAGGAATCTGCCTGCCAGGGCAGCGGACATGGGTTCGATCCCTGGTCCTGGCAGATCCCACATGTTGCGGAGCAACTAAGCCTGTGTGCCACAACTACTGAGCCTGCGTGCCACAGCTACTGAAGCCCGCGTGCCTAGAGCCCTTGCTCCTCAGCAAGAGAAGCCACCGCAGTGAGAAGCTCGTGCACCGCAAGGAAGAGTAGTTCCTGCTTGCAGCAACTAGAGAAAGCCTAACTAGAGAAAGCCTGCATGTGACAATGAAGACCCACTGCAGCCAAAAATAAAATAAGTAAGTTTATATATATATATATAAAGAATGCTTCTAGATTTCTACAGTTTCCTCAGATCTTTGACAATTGTCCTACCAATGTAAAATTCAGCAACATTTTTAAAGTGACTCACCTGGGTAATTTTTACCAAAAAATTCAACTTGGTTTTCATAGAAAACATGTTTTTTTCTTTTTCCGCATATCCAATTTATTTATGAACAATTTAATGAAAGCATATAATTAAAGCAAAAACAACAAGCATAAACATATCCAAGAATAGGTAAATAAACAACCAAGTGAGTGAAAATGAAAGTCCTTGGGGATACTAGAGAGTAGCCTATTAATTGTGTAGAAGATAGGCAACTTGTACAGAGAGAACAGAAAGTGGTTCAGTTAAATACTGGTCAGTTAAGAGATTTTTTGCAATAAATGAATTTAGAAGTGGTCATGCATTTTTTTTTTTGCCATTAAAGATCTATTTCTTGTCTTAGACCTAGACAAGGTTAGAAAACAACCAGGACAAAATTTTCTTTAAATGAGCTGTGGTGGAAAGAACAGATGCAAGATGGTGAGAAGAAAACAGGAAACTGAATGAGAGATGAATCAAGAATTGTTTCCCTGTGTGTGTGTGTGTGTGTGTGTGTGTGTGTGTTTGTGTGTGTGTGTTTCAAAGACTAAGGGCTTGGAAGGGAAGGATTGATTATATCCACGAGTTTTCATAGTTGATATGAGTCGGGAACGGGGGCTCATCTTTTTCAAAAAAATATCACCAGTAAATACCTGCTCTGGAAGCAGGGGGATGATGAGAATCTTGTTATTAAAGACAAAAAATAAAGTGAAAACTGAGGTCAGAAGCTTGAAGAATAAATAGAGCATGAGAATGACATTCTTTTTTCTTCCAATGACATTTTTTTCTAATTATAAAAGTAAAACATGCCCATTTTAGAATACTTGGAAAAATATTTTTAAAATATAGTGAAGAATACAAAATCACTTAACCCCCCAAGTGGAATTCTAAATAGTGGGGTATACCACAATTATTAAAAAAAAAAAAGTAAGGAGCTTCACAAAAGGAAGCTATATACCTGCTTAAATGAATGGCTTCAGCTTAGTAGCTTTATAGACATAATTCAAATTTCTTCCATAATGAGTCATTTCAAGAATTGCTAATTCTAGTTCTCCACTTCTTACCTGCTGTGTCAAACATGACATATCCACATAGCAGAAAGCTGCCTACATCTTTAGTCTTTGGATGTTTTGAAGCAATTAGTAAAGCTTGATTTGAAGAGATATTAACAATTCCCCCAATGCAGTTACTTGGCCATGGTCCATATTTGTCTTGATATAGTTCAAAGGTTTGTTTTCTCTTATTATGACTAGCAAGCAAATGTTATAAAGTCATTTCTGGTTTTGGTACCTCATGGTGTAAATATTGTGAAATTCATAATAAAATTGCTTCCTGCATTATCTTGGTTTCTAGGAGTAAACATCTGTTTATGAATTAAGTTGTCTAGAGCAGTAATGAAATCTCCTTGGGGATTCTTTAAGAGTAAAGAAGGACGGAAGACATACAGTTGAAACTGGGAGAGATTTAAAACTACAACGGACTATGTGAGGCTTAGATGAAAGACAAGTAATTGCATTTTGGGGATCTGCTTTCATGTTTTAATACTTCTTGGTAAAAATTTTAAAAGATGCTTTGGAAACCAAGGTTATGAACATATCCCCCCCCCCCTCTTTTTTTTTTTTTTTTTTTTTTTTTTTTTTTTTTGGCGGTATGCGAGCCTCTCACTGTTGTGGCCTCTCCCACTGCGGAGCAACAGGCTGGCTCCAGACGCGCAGGCTCAGCGGCCATGGCTCACGGGCCCAGCCGCTCTGCGGGATGTGGGATCTTCCTGGACCGGGGCACGAACCCGTGTCCTCTGCATCGGCAGGCAGACTCCCAACCACAGTGCCACCAGGGAAGCCCGAACATATCCCTTTACAGCTAAAAATTGTACTTTTTGTATTTGACGGGTCTAGTTTTCTTCATTCTTCCCATTCAAGGGACTACTTTCTCCTTCAATATTCCTTATTCCCCAGGTCATATCTCCTCTCCATTCTTTTCTTAAAAAATTAAACATGTTAAGTTATGAAAATGTTAAATGCACTGAAATATTCATAGAACAATGTTACAGCTAGCCATTTACACATCGTGCAGAATTAACAGACAATAAAACTTTTGTCATATTTCTGTCAGATCTTTTATTCCCTAGTTTTTAAAGAAATAACATGCTATAGATAAAAATCAAAATACCTCCCCCCTCAATTTTCTTTTCTTCTTTCTCAGAGGCAAATACTACTTGTTTCACTTGTATCTTTCTAGAAATGTTCTCTGACTATATAAGTGTATATTCATATATTCTTTTTTTTCTATACACATCCTCTCTTCTGTCTCACTTTTTTTCACTTAACAGTTTATCTTGATTATCAGTGTAGTTCTGTCTCATTCTAATAATATTCCTCTGTATAGATTTACCATATTCTAGACTTGTACTCATGGACATTTAGGTTGTTTTAAAACTTTTGCAATATATTGCAAACCATGCTGCAATAAAATACTTGGAGATGTAAGATAGAATCCTAGAAGCAGAATCACTAAGTCAAAAAATATACCATTTTACATTTTGAAAA